TCTATACTCTAAGCTGATATATCCAGCACTCTTTCATGACATGTATATATGATGTAGTAATGTAGAGGGATAAGATAGTGTCTTGACATTGGAATGGGAGATTGCAAAACAGAGCTAGTTGTAATGAAGATTATGGCGATGTGTTTCTTTGAACAAAAGGGGACAAAGAAAGAAGGTGCAAAGATTGAATGGAGTGTCTAATATCTGTCATTGGGGAGTAAGGAGAAGAGGACCTAGCTTTTCTTAGCTTTGTCCTGTTATTTTTGTTTAACCTACGCAGCGAGTATACATAGTGGCTCAATGAGCTAATCTACAACGATGACATGAATTTTGTTAGAACACATAGAGACTATAAGGCAGAAATTCTAACAGATGACATGAATTTTCAAAGTTTCGGACAACAAGCAAACTAGAAAGCATGAGAGGTCTTTGTAAACTAGTATTTTCAAATAAAGGACCGAACCTCAGGTTACTTGAACAACGTAAATATTACATACGTGCACAAATTCACAAAAAGGAATGAGATTGAAGGATTTGTTAATGGAAAACCCTCGCGCTAGTCCTTAAAGAGCTCATGCATGTTCCTTCTGTTCATAGCATCAAATCTTTCCTAATATAATCACTAAAGAAGGGAGTGTACATTTAAAATCACTAATAGATTTAAAATCATAGGGATTAATTATTTATTTTCAAAGCTATTTCCAATAGGATCAAATTCCATCTCAACTTTCTTTTCCCTTTCCATATCATAGTTTGCGGCATTAACTGGACCAATAGGATCAAATTCCATCTCAACTTTCTTTCCCCTCTCCATATCATAGTTTGCGACATTAACTGGGAAGTCCTACGTTCACATGCACACTGCCTCTAATGTGTATACCATGAATGGATAAAGGTCTCTACAATGTCAAGTCCTCTCACTTTTGACAAGCAGGCAGAAAAGTGAATAAAGGGTGATAAAAAGCAAAGAATTATATGGAAGAAACTTTAATCTCGAAAGTTTTTTCTAGCAGTTTGATCACTTCAATGGAAGATATCGTAATTGACGTGAAAGGGTTTAATTTGTATCATGAAACACGAGCAGCAGCAAGCATATACGCATCTCTGGTCTTCGTTGAGTTTGTTTTCACACTTGTGAAAGCCTTAGATGGTCAGGGTCCTGCTATCTGTTGTTAACGTGTATCACAGGCTTTTAAGATACACAGAGATAGAAAGAGTGATGATAGGAATGAGACTTATTAAATCTTCTTCTTCTGTTATTCAATGATTCTGACTTGTAATTAGTTTTATATATATGCAGCTGTAACCAACTTAACAGCATGTAACTAGCTTGTAATTGACGTGAGACACACTTGTTTTGTAATTTCCAGTTCACCAACCCTTTCCATATTTTCCACTGAAAAGACAACGGAAAAGTGTATGTGAGAGACTCACGAAATTTCCATAATTGACTATGGATCAGTACCCGTAACAATCCATTTTTTTGAAGTTCTGTCGGATCTTGTACAGACACAGGTTTGACCATATAAAATATATAAAAATATATAAAAATAAATATTTTACCTAGCTACTTCTTGTTTTTTTCTTAAGTATTTTTTATATAAAAATAAATATTTTTTAAATATTTTTTATTTTTAATAACACTAAAAAAATATTAATTTAATTATTTTTATATTAAATATATTTTTAAAACATATTTAAACACAGGTTTGACCATAAAATTAAACAAACTAAAAATAACAGTCCTTTGTTAACAAAGATTCTTTCCAATAACAATTTATTTTTTAAAGGAGACTTGAGTCTCTGACCAAGCATGAGTTAAGAGCATTGGGTTTGGTGATCATGTCTAATTAATATTTTTATAATTTAATTTTTATAATAAAATATTTAAACTATCTTATCCTAAATAATTTCTTTTTATAAAGTTTTTCTATATTTTATAAAAAAACTATTTAAATTACCCTTCAATTATCTTAAACAGAAATGCTAATTAATTTTTTTTATAATTTTTTTTATTTTTTATAAAACATATTTAAATTACACTTGAAGTATCTAAAATAATTTTTTTATAAATGTTTTTTATTTTTTATGAAAACATTTAAACTATCACTGAATAATCCAAACAGAAATTCTAATTAATTTGTTTTATTTGTTATAAAAAAAATATTTACTTTTAAAGCATCCTAAACTGAAATGCTAATTATTTTTTTATAATTTGCTTTTATTTTTCATTAAAAAATTAAATTATCCATAAAGTATCTTAACTAGAAATGCTAATTAACTTTTTATAAATACTTTTTATTTTTATAAAAAAAAACATTTCAATTACCCTTGAAGTATCCCAAACAAACATTCTAATTAATTTTTTTATATAATTGTTTTTATAAAATTATAATTAATTTAAGCTACACTTGAAGTATCCTAAACAAAAATTCTAATTAATTAAAAAAAACATTCAAACTACCCTTGAAGTATCCTAAAAAAATTCTAATTAAATAAAAAAAATATTTAAACTACCCGTGAAGTATTCTAAAAAGAAATTATAATTAATGTTTTTTATAAAAGAAAATGTTTAAACTACATTTGAAATATCCTAAATAATTTTTTGATAATTGTTTTCTATTTTTTATAAAATAAATTAAACTATCCATAAGGTTTTCTAAATAGAAATTCTAATTAATAATTTTTATAATTTTTTTGTTATAAAAAAGTATTTAAGTTACTCTTAAAGCATCATAAATCGAAATGCTAATTAATTTTTTTATATAATTTTATATAAAAAATTAAATTATCCTTAAAGTATCATAAACAGAAATAATAATTAATTTTTTATCGCACATATTTGTTATGATACTGTATCTTGATGTGAACACATTTTCTTTCCCTTTTTCATTT